CCTGCGCCTGTCCCTGGGCGGTCGCGATCGCCGTCATCTGCTCTTTTACGGTGGTCGCGACCCGCTCGAGCGCCTCCTGCTGCGACGCTTGCGAGGCCATCACCCCCTGGATCATGGCCTTCATCTCCTGAAATTGACTCTCGACCATACCCTTCATGTCCCTCTCGGTCTTGGCCTGGTACTCGCGCATCTCCTCGAGTGGGTCGGAGGCGGTGTCCATAGCCTCCGTGTCGCTCTCTGGCTTGCGCTTCGTTGAGGACGCCCGGCGAGCTGCTGCTGCTGCGGACCTCTGTTCCGCCTGATCCTTCTGCAGCGCCTCGGTGACCTTCGCCGCGTCCTCCGCCACTCGCTGATACGCCGGCTGCCGAGCCGTCATGACTGAGCCGCCCGCCAGACCTCCGACCATCATGCCCGGGTGAAGAGGCAACGGAGCCCTTTCGGCCCCAGGAGGTGGCTTGGGTACGCATATCAAGGCCTGCCACTGTGGCTCGGCGGTCGCGCCCTGAGCCCAACCTTGTCCACGCAGCGTGCACGCGGCGTCCTTCTTCTTGCACAGGCACAACTTTTCCTCTTTCACGGTCCCTTTTGTCGGCCTCAGCTCCCAGTATCCGACCCTCATCGAGCACCCGCTGCATACGAACCACTTCCCCCACGAGTTGGCTCCGTAGTTCACGAGCGTCGGCGGGTGCCAACACGTCTCGTACTCCTGCGAGAGGCGGCGAAGAGACTTGGGCAGGTTGGTCGGCCAGAAGCGCTTGGCGCGGCACATACTCCCGAACTCCTCGGCCAGACGCGCCGACCAATATAGCACCCACCCGGCCAAACAGGCCCATCCCTTCTCGCCCTTGTTGAGGTTCTCCGGGACGTAGGTCCCGGTGGCCCCGTAGACCCATGCTGAGTCCGTCTGGCTCTGCATGCGGTCCGTCATCGTATGCGGCCGCTCCTGAGCTCCACGACGCCCCCTCTGGCCTGCCACGCGGGTCGTCGAAGCAGCTGGCGGCATCGCGATCTGCTCTCCAATCGGCCTCTGAGTTGTCGAGGCTGCTGTCGAATTGCTGCGAGCTGAACGATTCGAGCCCAAGTGCTGCGAGGAAGGCGTACGAAGTCGAGGCTGGCCTCGTGGCCCACGTCGGCCACCTCCAACCCCGCGCTGTCGACCCTCCCCTGGCTCTGAAACGTCTCGACCTGGAACTCAAAGCCCTGGCGAGTCCCGAAGTACACGTACTGCTCAGCGCGGAGTCGGAGGTGCCGCCCGACTCCAGACCCCTTAGCGGACCTGTTCTGGAACCTGAGTTGTCCGGCCCAACTAAGGCCCCGGCGTACGTTCCGACCGCCTCTGACCTAAGATTCTCCCAGAAAAAGGTCCCGGACCCCCTTGGACGCTGTTCCGTCCCCCTCAGACTCCCCCAGCAGCTTCCGTGGTACAGCCCCCCCAGGCCAGTGCTGACAGAAGACGCGATGATGTACTTCCCCTTGGCTTGAAACGCATCCTTCGGCAGCTGAGGGTGCGACCTAAACACGGAGGCCGGAGCTTTAAAGTCTTTGGCGGGAACTGAAAACTTGTCTACCTGTATGGTGCGGTGGGCCGACGGGAGCCTAGTCAGAGGCGTCGTGGCCCCCAACTTCGTAAAAGTCAGAGCTTTGTTCGGAAGATCTACAATTCCACCTAGCATCTCTTGAAATCCTATCGGCAAAAGGGGTGGAACGTCCTGGTCCAGGACATCCAGCTCCAGCACCCCCATGCTACCCTCGATGCCTACAGGAATCAGAGCGGTGTGGGTGACCTTTACCCCCCCGCCTACTCCGCGCGCGCTTGGGTTCCTGGGTGGGACCCTTGGGACGGCGAACCCCTTTGAGGCCCAGTGCCCCTCGATCTTCTGCAAAGCTTGTTCTCCTACAAGGCCCTGGCCGGCCGCGGTGTCGACCACCATGGCCCCAGGACCTACGGCGAGCAGGACAACTGCGTAGGTTGGAGGAGGAGGCTCGTCGAAGCACTGGGAGGTGGAGTGATCTAAAGCATTCACATACAGGAAAGTCAGACCCGTGGCAGGAGACCCCTTTTCGTCCTTGGCTCCTGCGCCCTGCTTCTGTGGGCACTCTCGAGACCAGTGTCCCTTCTGATGACAGACGCGGCATCTTGTGCGCTTAATTAATTCAGCAAGCGGAAGGCGGCTCTTCCGCGCTCTGAACGTGCCGTCTGCTGCCCTGTGGCCGGGCCTGCGAGCCTTCTCGCGCCCATCACTGCCACGGCCCTGGCCAGACCTATCGTAGAACTTCCGGTCGGTCTTCAGCTGTCTCTTCAAGTCGCGGTTCTGCTTCCACGTCTTGCGGCGCTCCTGGTTAATGGCGGCCAGCGCTGCAGGCGCGTCGTCCTCCCCGACGTCGGCCGACTCCAGGATCGCCCAGACCTCTGCTTCCCCGTCTGAATCCATGGAGGAGACATCCGAGTAGTCAAGCAGGGACTCGTCGTCGCGCTCGACCTGATAGGTAGGCACCTGAGGTGGGGGTGCTTCCGAGCCCATAGTGGCGTAGGTCCTGCGTGCCTTGAGATGCTCTCGATGGGAGATGTCCATGTCCCGAATGGCCGAGAGAGCCGACTTGTAGTCCTTCTGGTCCCTCATGAGCACCTTGGCCATCTGCGCCGAGCGCTCGTCGAGAGAAACTCCTTCCTCCAGGAACATCAGTTTCCACTCGTCTGGAAGCGGCAGCCCCTGGGTAGCTACCCTGTCGAAGGCCGTGTCCATACGTGCACAGTATTCGGTGAGATTCTCTCCCTGCTTGCGTGAATAATCCAGTAGGCACTCTCGAGCGACCTTCCGTCGCTCGTCGCCGTGTCTTTCACCAGACATCAGGTCAAGGCGTTTGACAATGGCGTCGAAACCCCATGAGCTGCACAGCGTGTCGTCATCGAGGTCCTCGAGCTTCCGTTGAAGGTCTTGATCAAGAGAGCGGAAGAGGCGATCAGCCTGCTTGTGGGAGGGAACGTCCGTCAGTGTTCTCCAGCGCAGCACCGTGCGGCGCCACATGCGGTAGTCCCCCCAGCCTCTCCATTTCTCGGGGTCGGCGAAGTCCTTGCCAGTGTTGATGCTGTGGCGGTCGTCATCATGTCCGGAGTGGCGCTTATTGGGCTCCCACTTGCTGTCCTTGTAGTTGTCGTTCCATCTCCATCCGGATGACCAGTCGCCCCACTGCTCGCCTTTCCAATGCTCGTCCCCGTAGCTTTCCCAGGTCGAAGCCGGAGTCCAGGTGGATCGCGAAGAAGTCCACTGCTGCTCGCCGGGCTTGCAGTCCGGCTCCTGCCAGGTGCTTCTCGTCGCGTCCCAGCCACCTGAATGCCACTGCTCCGACCTGCCCTGGGACGTCTCGGTGGCGGACGCGGCAGCGCCGCCACCGGACCATGTCCCGGCACTCGTCGACTCGTGCTCTGGCGGTGGTGCATGCCAGCCTGACCACGAGCGATCCTCGGCGCTCGACCACGGAGCACTGGAACTCTGCCCGTGATCGCGCCGACGTCCACTGTCGTCGCCGCCCCCATGTGAGTCACGCTGACGACTCTGGGAACTGGCCGGCACCACGTCCAGTAGTAAAAGACGTGCCAACTTCTCTGCCTCATCTTGGTCGAGGTGGAGACCGTCATGCCTCATCAGTGTATCAGTCACTGCCCGTACTGCAGAATGCTCCCCTCGTTCTTCTTGCTGTGTCTCTCGATTAGCTCCTTGCTCCGCTGCTGCCGTCATTGGTCCGCGGACTCAGAGCTGCTCACAGCTCCGCTACCACTGTCGCCCGACGGACGACAGCAGTGAAGCCAAAGTGTCGTACCTTTTCTCCAGCAAGAGAAACCTCGCACTCTCTCTTCTCAGTACACAGCTCCCAACGCTGTACAAACAAGGCGCGGAACGGTATAGGAAAGGAAGAGGGGTAGGGTGGATATGGTATGAGTGATGAGGAATGAGTGGAAGTTGGGTCTTGAGCCAAAATGGTTACGACCCATGCTCGTGACCTTCAAGCTCAGGGAGTCTAGCAGGGGCATCGGCCTTGAAAACCACCGGCCTCTAGACTCAAATCACACATAATGAGGATTATGATGCTGATGATGGTACTGATGATGAGGATGCTGCCGCTGGTGATGTATATGATGAGGATGAGGATGATGATGCTGATGATGATGACGGCGACAACGACAATGCTCCTGCTGCTGGTGCTGATGATGATGCTGATTACGATGACAATGGCGGTGACGATGATGATGATGATGCTGATGAGGCTGATGATGATGATTCTGCTGCTGATGCTGATGCTGATTCTGGTGATACCGATTATGATGGTGATGCTGCTGTTGCTGATGATGATTACGATGTTGGTGGTGGTGATGATGATGATGATGATGATGATGATGAAGTCGAATATACTCCCCGCGACTCTGATTATAATAGCATGGGCAAACAACATGATGACGGTCATAGTCGGTCCAGTCTGCATCACACCTGGTGCAGCGCAGTCTCCTGCCTCAGAGACCCCTCCTCGCCAGCTCCCAAAAGCATTCCTTTTCGCTGTACGGGGCCCGCTCGAAAGGCGATCACCCGTGGGCATGCCAACCAGGCGAGAGCCCCATTTTTGAAACTGGGCCGCCTTCCATTCGTGTAGCTACAGGATGTGCCAAATAGCTTGAACCAGAAATTTCAAAGCAAATGCCCAGCGATGTTTGGTCTTGAAGAGAGCCGTCCTCCACGACTACGACGAGTGGCGCCCATCCGCCCTCCAACCAAAGGTTTAGGCCCTTGCTCTTGCTGCTGTTGGACCTCCTCCTCCTCCTCCTCCCTCTCCTTCTCCCCCTCCTCCTCCTCCTCCTCCTCCTCCTCCTCCTCCTCCTCCTCCTCCGCCTCCTCCTCCTCTTCCTCCCCGCCTTCTACTTGCCCCTCCTGCCTGCCGCCTCGATGCTTTCCTCTGTCCTGTACTACATGGCCGCGCAGGGCTACAGAAACAAAGAGCGGGCTGGGCACTCCACGCAGAAGTGGCCGTCCCCACGATTCTCCTTCACCATGGGATGATCAGGATGATGCGGCGGATGATCAGCGAGGCAGAAGAGGGGGGCCATGAGCAGCTGGGGCAGAAAGATGGTGAGACATCCCAACGACGGCCTGCTTCGTTTGCCCCCGTAGGCTCGAAAACACTGGTCGTCCTCCTCCTCCTCCTCCTCCTCCTCCTCCCGTTCTCCTCCTCTCGCAGCAGCTCTCTGGCGGAAGCCGAGAAAACACAAACTGGCGCGCGCAAACACCGATAAATCCCGAATGCCCTCGATCCACCCGTCTCCGCGATCGCCGCGTCTCCGCCTCCCTTTGCGAAACCTTCTCTCCCCTCCATCCCTTCGTTTCCCTGTCACCCTCACTCTCCCCTCCCACTCCTCCTTCTTTTTCTGCTCCCTCAGTTCTATCCTCTCCTCCCCCTCCTCCCGGGGGTGAGGGAAGGTGGAAAATCCGCCGACCCCTTGTGGGTCTCTAGGCGTGTGAGATAGTTCCCCCCCCTATAGTCCCCCTCCCGGGACCCCAAACCGGCGATTTGACCCCCCCCCCCCCCGGGCCCGGGACGAGCGCCGCCGGGGCCCGGGACGAGCGCCGCCGGGGCTTTTCCGGGCCCCAGGAAGCCTCAAGACGGGCCAAGATGGCCCCAAGAGGCCTTCAAGACGGCCCACGGGAGCCCCGAGACGCCAAACGAGCGCTCCAAGACGCCCAAGATGGCTCAAAGACGGGCTAAGAGGCCTCCAAGACGGCCCAAGAGGTCCCCAAGAGGCCCCAAGAGGCCTCCAAGATGCGTCCCACGAGGGTCCCTAGACGCAAAAATTGGCCCATTCCCTTCGTAAAACGTACATTTTTCACGAATTCGCTTTTTGGGCTTTCCGACGCTCCCAGACGGCCCAAGAGGCCCTAAATACCGCCCCAAGACGGTCCAAGCAGCCTCCAGGGAAGCTCCAAGGCAGCCCAAGAGAGCCCCAAGACAGCCCAAGAGGCGCCCAAGATTGCCCAAGAGGGCCCCGAAGACGGCCCCAAGAGCGCTCCAGGAGCGCTTCAAGTGGCCTCCAAGAGAGCTCAATATGGTCACAGACGGTCGAAGAGCGATCAAAGACACCGACGATCGCCTCCAGACGGCCCAAGACGGCCCCAAGAGGCCCCAAGAGGCCTCCAAGATGCGTCCCAGGAGGGCCCCTCGGCGCAAAAATTGGCCCGTTCCCTTCGTGAAACGTACATTTTTCACAAATTTGCCTTTTGGGCTTTCCGACGCTCCCAGACGGCCCTGGAGGCCTCCAATACAGCCCCAAGGTAGCCCAGAGGCGTTCGAGCCGGGGTCATCCGGGCTCCGGTGGATCCCAGCTCGAACGCCGCCGGGGGGAGCAAAGGGCCCGAAAACGAACCAAGAGCGCACCAAGGGGCCCCCGAGACGGTCAAGAAGGCCCCGAGTAGCCAAACCAGCGTTCGAACACGCCCAAGATGGTCCCAAGACTGCCCAAGAGACCCCCAGGAGGGCCCCTCGGCGCAAAAATTGGCCCGTTCCCTTCGTGAAACGTACATTTTTCACAAATTTGCCTTTTGGGCTTTCCGACGCTCCCAGACGGCCCTGGAGGCCTCCAATACAGCCCCAAAGTAGCCCAGAGGCGTTCGAGCCGGGGTCATCCGCGCTCCGGTTGACCCCGGCTCGAACGCCGCCGGGGGGAGCAAAGGGCCCGAAAACGAACCAAGAGCGCACCAAGGGGCCCCCGAGACGGTCAAGAAGGCCCCGAGTAGCCAAACCAGCGTTCGAACACGCCCAAGATGGCCCCAAGACTGCCCTCCCCCTCGCCATCCTCCCCAACCTCACCCTCCTCATCCTCCTCAACCTGATCCTCGACCTCCTCATCCTCTTCAATCTCATCCTCCTCATCCTCCTCCTCCTCCCTCTGCTCCTCCTCCACCTCCGACTACTCCTCTTCCGTTCTTTTTTCCATGCGCTTTGCCATGCCTCTCAATCTTTTCTTCTGGCACTTGCCACTGCACTGTAACGCCTGGCAGCTACGAGCAGTGAAGGCGGAAACGCGGCGATAGCCGCCGGTACGAATCAAGGGGTCGGCGGATGTGGCGTGAGCCTGGAGAATCTCCGTCTCGTCCTGGGCCCTCCTCGTCGGTGGCCGCGGTGATAGGATGTGGTCGGCAAGCGCCCCCTTGCCGTGAAGGAGGGGGGGACATCAGGGAAAGAGGTCTGGGACGTCAGGAAATAGGTTTTTGTTGTTGCTGCTGCTGTTGCTGTTGTTGTTGCTGCTGTTGCTGCTGCTGTCGTTGTTGTGGTTGTGGTTGTGGTTGTGGTTGTGGTTGTGGTTTTGTCGTTGTTGTTGTTGTTGTTGTTGTTGTTGTTGTTGTTGTTGAACTCTCATTCTTGAAGAATAATTATTGTTGATCCCCCCCACCGGTGCACATGGATTTTTTTCGATTGAAGTGCCACCCCCGGGGCTCGCACCTTGTTTTTTCTCAAGGAAAATCTTCCTGCTCAAACTGTGCCCCTGCCCCCCGGGCTACAACAACAACGGCTCCCGCCTGAGACTTCCTCGATTTTTTACTCAGGACCCCCGCTCCCGCCTAAGACTTCTGCGCAATTTACTCAGGAAAGGCGCTCCCGTCTGAGACTTCCTCGCAATGTAATCAAGACCCCCGCTCCCGCCTGAGACTTCCGTGCAATTTACGTGGGAACGGCGCTCCCGCCTGAGACTTCTTCGAATTTTACTCAGGACCCCCGCTCCTGCCTGACATTTCCGCGCAATTGACTCAGGAACGGCGCTCCCGCCTGAGACTTCCTCGCAATTTAGTGAGGACCCCCGCTCCCGCCTGAGACTTCCGTGCAATTTGCTCAGGAACGGCGCTCCCGCTTGAGACTTCCTCGCAACTTAGTCAGGGCCCCCGCTTCCGCCTGAGATTTCCTCACAATGTACTCAGGACTGCGCTCTCGCGTGCGACGTCCTCACAAATTATTCTGGAATTGCGTTTCGGCGCTCAGGAACCACGCACGCGCCAAGGACGCCTTCACAACGTGGTATCTTCCCTCTTCCTTCGTCCTTCCCCCTCCCCTTCCTCCCACTCTCCCTCGTTCTTCCCCTCCTCCTCTTGCAGGGCCCGCGCCAATTCCAATGGCGGGCAGAGAGATGTACGCCCCCGAAGGATTGTCCGCCCGTTCCGGTTTGCCCGTACGTCTAAGCCCGCCGGCCCCAGCAAAGAGAAATAATCCCCCCGAAAGGGGTGTGATCGAAGACGAAGAGGGCGGGTATCGAGGGTGTAGGGTATACGTGTTGAATGACTCGCGGGCAAGTAAGAGCGCACAGCCTTAAAATGGTTGTTGTTGTTGGTGTTGTTGTTGTTGTTGAACATTATTAATTCTAAAGAATAATTATTGTTGGGCCCCCTGGTGCGCGCCCCCCCCGCCGCGCCTAGGCCGCAGCCACGTTTTCATCATTTTCGTGAGGAAGCCTCAGGTAATTCGATGTCATCCAGATCCGGTTGTTTTGTTCCCCCCCGCTTTCCCTTGCAAAAAACACTATAAAATGAAATTTCTTGTTCAAATATAATCAAATTTCAAGAATCCCTTGCAAAAAATAAGGTAAAGTGGACATTCGCGCGCGCAAGACGAAATCCTTCCAAAAGCTTAGTGTTCGGAGCGATTTCAACATAAAAACATCAAAAAACCAATGGTTTTTCAACAAAAAAATGTCAAAATCTCATCCCGCGCGCTCTTGCGGATTCGTAGGAAACCCAACACTTTTTAAACATTTCTGTCAAACGGGCTTTTGCGAGCAACTTTTTCGAACTTCTGCGACAACGGTTGCGCACCTGCCAGGGCCATCATCCCTGTCAAATAATACCATGCGGGACACATTCGTTTTTTCTTCGCGCGCGCACGCCGAAATCTCCAAAAACCATTGGGTTCTGTGGGTGTGTACCCCACGCCAGTGTAGTAGCCACGGTCGTCCGCACGCCACGAAGTGAAGTGTCCCAACGTCATAGGGCGGGAAGCTGGGTTTGGGTGGTCGCGAAGAGTCGTTTGGATATTTGGTGGAGCTTGTAATGCCCCCCCACGAAGTGGGGGTATTGCCTGGTGTCGTATGAAAACCCTGGCACTGGGGAGAACACCACGCGTTCGGGTAAAATGATTGTTGTTGTTGTTGTTGTTGTTGTTGTTGTTCTGGTTATTGTTGTTGCTGTTGCTGTTGCTGTTGTTGCTGTTGTTCTTGTTGCTGCTGTTGTTGTTGTTGTTGTTGTTGTTATTGTTATTGTGTGTGTGTTGTTGTTGTTGTTGTTGTTGTTGCTGTTGTTGTTGTGGTATACTCATCTCTAGAGAAGAACTATTGTTCATCTTCGACAGCGGTTCTGGGTGCTCTCGCCTCGACGCCGGCTACATTTCTCTGAAAACGAGGCTCCCGCTCGAGCGTTGGCTTGACCCTAAAAGTGCGCCCTTGGAGGCCCAGCCACGACGACACAGGTTCCTGCTCGATACTTCCTCAATTTACTTCGAAACACCCTGGCCAGGCAGGCCTCCAAACTCATGAACGGCGCTCTCGCTCGAGACTTTCTCGCAATTCAATCAAGTTGGCGGGGGCCCAGCCACGACGACAAAGGCTCCTGCTCGATACTTCCTCACGATTTACTCCGAGAGCCCCTGGCCAGGAAGGCCCCCGAACTCAGGAACGGCGCTCTCGCTCGAGACCTCCTCATGATTCAGTCAAATTGGTGGAGGCCCACATGCGACGACAAAGGCTTCCGCTCGATACTTCCTCAAGATGTGCTCGCAGAGGTCCTTGCCAGAGAACCCCCCGAAATCAAGAGTGGCGCTCTCGCTCGAGACGCCCTCGTCATTCAGTTAATTTGGTGTGGGCCAAGCCGCGACGACGAGGGCTCCCGTGCGTTACCTCCTCAAGCTGTACTTCGAGAGCCCGTGGCCCGAGACTGCAATTCAGTAGCGGCGCCGGAGGCCCACCTGCGACGACAGGGGCTCCCGCTCGACACCCCCTTTAGTACTCCT